ACAGACTCACTGGCCCTCCAGCTCGTCTATACAGACTCACTGGCCCTCCAGCTCGTCCATACAGACTCACTGGCCCTCCAGCTCGTCTATACAGACTCACTGGCCCTCCAGCTCGTCCATACAGACTCACTGGCCCTCCAGCTCGTCTATACAGACTCACTGGCCCTCCAGCTCGTCTATACAGACTCACTGGCCCTCCAGCTCGTCTATACAGACTCACTGGCCCTCCAGCTCGTCTATACAGACTCACTGGCCCTCCAGCTCGTCTATACAGACTCACTGGCCCTCCAGCTCGTCTATACAGACTCACTGGCCCTCCAGCTCGTCTATACAGACTCACTGGCCCTCCAGCTCGTCTATACAGACTCACTGGCCCTCCAGCTCGTCTATACAGACTCACTGGCCCTCCAGCTCGTCTATATAGACTCACTGGCCTGTCAGCTCGTCTATATAGACTCACTGGCCCTCCAGCTCGTCTATACAGACTCACTGGCCCTCCAGCTCGTCTATACAGACTCACTGGCCCTCCAGCTCGTCTATACAGACTCACTGCACCTTCAGCTCGTCTATATAGACTCACTGGCCTGTCAGCTCGTCTATATAGACTCACTGGCTTGTCAGCTCGTCTATATAGAAATTTACTGTCCTGTCAGCTCGTCCTTATAGAGACTCACTGGCCTATCAGCTCGTCTATACAGACTCACTGTCCCTTCTGAAGCTGCAGACGAGCTGATGGCTTGTTTACAAATACTTTTTCCTTGTCTTTCCGATCTCTGTCATTTTCATGGGAAAGGTTAATTGCCTTCTTGCAGTTTTCCCGTCTATATAGTTCCTGTGTATTGTGTTCTGCCCATAGACGATTTTTATATACAGAATACTTTAAGTATTGTATATAGCAGACCTGTCAGATGTCATGTGCCCTCACTGCATTTTACATTCGCCGCAAACTTAATCTTTCCAGGTACTTATTAAAAGTGAAAGTAATTAAAAAATTGTGTCCGCCATTTTACTCTCTCGTTCAAAGCTCGAAAGCAGTCATGACATTTTTGGCCATTGACTCTGTCGAATAAATCTGTGCCTGTTTCTGGATACGTTGTCTTGTTTTTGCCTCTCTCTCGGTCACCATGGATTTGACTCAGTTTCACAGTTGCCCTTTAATATTCGACAAATTAACAACAATAAAATTTATGACACTTTGCAAAAAATGTTCGCGATTTAAAGTGAGACCTACAATCGTCGACAATCAACCGAACCGAAGAACAACTAGCAATCCTGTCGGACAGTCATTTGTTCAATTCATGAGTAATCACGTCCATGGCATTGGTCTGGTTTCTGCTGTGTGTGTTAATGCGTGAACGAATGAATGTGTGCGGTGCGGTTGTAGTAATGATGGCCCTACATTTGTATGGTTTGCTCTGGGGTTGTGGAGCTTCCACAGTTTAATGTGGATGTATTGTGGACTTAAGGATAGACACTTTGGGATTTTGAAATGTTCAGCTAGTTCGAGAGAAGCATTTGATCCTTACGGAAAACAGCGAGTCTATATAGACGAGCTGAAGGCCAGTTATTCGATATAGACGAGTTGAAGGGCCACTGGGTCTATATAGACGAACTGAAGGGCCAGAGACGAGCTGAGAAGCCAGTGAGTCTATATCGAGGAGTTTACGGGCCAGTGGGTCTATATAAACGAGCTGAAGGTCCAGTGCGTCTATATAGAGGATCTAAAGGCTCAGTGAGCCTATATAGACGGGCTGAAGGGCCTGTAAGTCTATACTGAGTTAGTTCTACAGCGAAACGTATGAACCTTTTGAATTTTACCTAAAATTAAATATACTTCTCTAATATTTATTTTCAAATTTAAAGCAATGAAATATTTATTTACAAGAATGCATTTTGTTGTAGTTTTTTTTTTGCTTTATTCCATGGCTTGTTATTGTTTATTATTATTTTGCCCATTTATTACGCGTTGTCGTTGGTTATGAATGGCATTTTTATTGTTTCAATTTTATTTATTAATAATTAATATTGACCCTCATTGATTTGTTTTGTTGGCCTGTATGTGTGTGTGTGCGAAAGCCTCCTGTTTAATCTTAAATAATAATTACAATAATTTATTCAAGTTCTTTTGTTAGAATTTTTGGAAAATAAATATTGGCAATTAGGCGTTTTGTGTACGAAGGCTGGTTGGCTAGCAGAGCTACCACGTAGGCTATGGTATTTGCCAGTCATGTTCGCTGCATAAATGAAAAGGACATTATGATTAATTATTCTATTCATGATGAATAAAAATTTCAGCACATTGGCTGGCTGGCTGTGCAGGCTGTGGGTAGAGGTGGTCATAATAAATTTATTATTTTTTTAATATTTGGGTTTCTGTGTTTCGTTTTTTGTTTGGAAATAAGGCGAAATTTGAGAGTGATGATGTCGATTTTCGAGGCTTGATGGAGGATGTCAACAAAACACTAAGTGTTGCCTAGCGACATTAGATATTTTAATTGAAAAAGTTGAGAATTTTTTAGCCAATATGCAAAAAGTATGGTTTGGCATAGACCCACTGTCCCTTCAGCTCTTCTATATAGACCCACTGTCATTTAAGATCGTCAATATAACCCATTGGCTTGTCAGCTCGTCTCTTTAGGCACACTGGATCAGCAGCTCGTCTATATAGAATGATTGTCTATATAGACGATTAACCCTTCAGCTCGTTTCTTTAGCCTAACTAGTCCTTCAGCTAATCTATAAACACTATATAAACTCACAGCTCCTCTATATGGACTCATTGGCCCTTCAGCTCATCTCAATATATTCAGTGGTCCTTCAGTTCGTCTCCATAGAGTCACTGGCCAGGCAGCTGGTCTCTGTAGAGTCACTGGCCTAAAGCTCGTCTATATAGACTAAATAGCCCTTAGCTTGTCTATAGACACATTGGCCCTGCAGCTCGTCTCTATAGACTCACTGGTCCTTTAGCTCGTCTCCATTGACTCACTGGCCAGTCAGCTGGTCTCTGTAGAGTCAATGGCACGTCAGCTTGTCTATATAGACTCACCTGCCACTCAACTTGTCTCTGTAGACTCACAGTTTGTCTTTATGGTCTGATTGGCCCTTCAGATCGTCTAAATAGAATCATTGGCCCCTCAGCTCGTCTATATAGAATCATTGCCCCTTCAGTTTGTCTATATGATCTGATTGGCCCATCAACTCGTCTGTATAGCCTCCCTAGCCCTTCAGCGCGTCTATAAACACTATAAGACTCACTTGCCCTTCAGCTCGTCGTTATAGACCCACTGGCTCCTCAGCTGGTCTATATAAACTCACTGTCTCCTCAGCTCGTCTATATAGGTTCACTGGCCCTTCAGCTCGTATCTATAAACTCACTGGCCCTCAGCTCGTTTATATATACTTACTGGCTTTCGTTTATATAGACTCACTGATCCTTCAGTTTGTCTATAGAGACTGATGGGCCCTTCAAGAAGTTTATATAGAATCATTGGTCCTTCAGCTGGTCTGTATGGACTGATTGGCCCTTTAGCTCGTCTTTATAGGTCCCTGGCCCATCAGTTTGTCTATAAATATTATATAGACCTCATTAGCCTTCAACTCGTCTATATATAATCACTGGCGCTTCATTTCGTCGTTATAGGTCTCTGGGCCATCAGCTCGTCTTTAAATACTGTATAGCCTTACTGGTCCTTCAGCTTGTTTATATAGACTGGGATCTCAGCTCACTGCGACCTCAGTTCGTCTACATAGACTCACTGGCTTCTCAGCTTGCCTGGGTAGATTCCCAGACTCCTTTGATTGTCTATGTTGACTCTAGGGCAATTCAGTCTGTATAGAATCCAAAACCCCTCAGGCCAGACTTGAAAGCCACTTAGCCTGTATATGTACACTCGGACCCTTCAGTTCGCCTTACAGACACATAAGCCCCTCTATATATTTATATTCACTGGCTCCTCAGCTCGTCCGTGCTGACTCTCTTGCCCTTCAGCTCCTCTATGTATACTTCCATAGCTCTCAGACTGTCTTTGTAGACTCCCTTGGCCCTTCGACGCATCTATAAAGACTCTCCGGTTCTTCGGTTAATCTATATAGAGACCCTGGCCCTTATCCTCGTCTAGGTAGACCCTTACCGAATGTAGCGTAATTGTTTACCATATTGGCTTCAAAAATGAATATACACACATAAATTCTATACCGCCCCGCGATATTTAATTTTTTTCCTGTTTTCAAATTGAAATTATATCTCTTTAATATTCTGCTGATACAGAAATGGAAATGCAATGATGCTGTGTAAATAAAATCGACGTTTCAAATAATATTCAACATGGACAACAACAAAACAAAAACAAAAAAAAAAAACTAAATTTTTATTATATGTACAAATAATGAACATTACACAATGATAATGGCAGTAGCAGCCGCAGCAAAAACAACATTTAAATTGTATTCATGATTTATGTTTTACATGAAAATCCTATTTTGTTGTTGTTGACATTTGGAAAAACATTAAATATTTTATCAAAGTGGTATAGAATCGCAGCCAGCAATAGAATCAATGCGAATTTACGGCATGAATACATTTTTAATTTAAAATCAAACAAACACAATCACACACACAGTGATATTCGGGCACGTGTAATGGCTGTTTGAAAAAAATGTTGATCGAAAAAAAATCACAACTCACGGTATCCGCAATTAATTTCAATTCAAATCATGTGTTATCGGCATGAAACAAATACTACTACAAATACGACTACACGCCTGTCATAACATATTTGTATTGAAATGTTGCAATAACGACAACAACTGCAACAACAAGAACAGTATCATGAATAGCAATAATGAAATTGCACAATTTATAAATATAAGGTATTTAATAGTGGTATTTTGTTGTTGAATAATAAAAATTGCAACAAAAAAAAAAAAACAATATTCAACGATTTATATTTATCTGAATATAATTTTTTTATTTAATTGATTTCCAAATCATTTCATTTCAGAGCCTTTTTACGTGATGTCGTCGAAACGGCCAATATTTTCATTAAAATGATGGAAAAATTTTGCAAAGATTCGGTGGTGGTGCAGGATAAAAAACGCCCCAAAAAACGTCACGGCAAAAAATCGAAAAAATCTGAAAAACCCAAACAGGAAACTGAGGTGAGTTATGGAATAGATTTTTATTTGTACTAATTAATGTAGAAATTATAGAAAAATGTATTTAGAAATTTAATGATATTTAAAAAAATATATATAGAATATTAAACTATTTTGAAATGTTGATGATGAAAATTGTCTAAAATAGTTTGATGGAAGGGAATATTTATATATAACATTGAATGTGACATGGGAGTAACAATACACCATTACAATGGAAAACCAGTAAGGAAAATAGTAAAGTCGGACTGGGCCGACTATATGATACCCTTCACCACTTTGGGGATATTCTACATATGTATCTTTACAGATGTCGTCTTTTTGAAGGAACATTGACATGAAATTGAACGGACTTAAAAATACGATCTTTATAAAAAGTAAAATGTAATATCAATCAAGCACCCATTGATTATTTGGTTTACAATCAACATAAATAGGTCGAAATTATATATGGAAGCTATTCTATATCTAAACCGAGTTTAAGGAACCTTGGCCGATATTAATTTATATTAATTTCAGTACGTTTTGCCAATCGGCCTAGTTATGGGTCTTTAGTACACCATTTACGTAAAATCGGACGAAAGTATATATAAAGCCTATATGTAAATCTGAACCAATTTCAAGAAAACTTGACACACACAAGTTTATAGTAACTTCAGTACATTGTACAAAATTGTGTGCGGGTCGGCCAATCTTTGGTTCTTTAGTGCACAATTAACATTAAATCGGACGAAAATATTTATTGGAGCTATATCTAAATCTGAACCGATTTTAACACATCATTCTGAATCCAATTAAGTACCCTATGGCAACCTTCGTGCAAATCGAAAGATATATAGGGACTTTGGAGACCCATTTACCTTAAATCTGACGAAAATATATATGGGAGCTATATATAAATCTGAACCGATTTCCTCGAAACTTGGCACACGTCATTCTTGACCTAATTCAGTACTTTATGCCAAACTTCGTGCAACTCGAAATATATATAGGGACTTTGGAAACCGATTTACCTTAAATCGGACGAAACTATAAATGGGAGCTATATCTAAATCGCAACTGATTATCTCGAAACTTGGCACAAATCACTCTACGCCTAATTCAGTACTCTGTGCCAAATTTCATGCAAGTCGAATGATATGTAGAGACTTTGGTGCACCATTTACCTCAAATCGGACGAAACTATATATATGGGAGCAATATCTAAATCTCAACCGATTTTCTCGAAACTTGGCACAAATCATTCTGCACCTAATTCAGTACTCTGTGCCAAATTTCATGCAAATCGAATGATATCTAGAGACTTTGGTGCACCATTTACCTCAAATCGGACAAAACTATATATGGGAGCTATATCTAAATCTGAACCGATTTTCTCGAAACTTGGCACAAATCATTCTGGACCTAATTCAGTACTCTGTGCCAAATTTCGTGCCAATCGAGAGATATAGAGGGACTTTGGTGCCCCATTTACCTTAAATCGGACGAAAATATATATGGGAGCTATATCAAAATCTGAACCGATTTTTCCCAATTTCAATAGGGTTCGTCCAAATAAGTGACTTGTGCCAAATTTCTTCCAAATAGGATCATAAATTCGACCTGTACTTTGTTTACAATTTAACATATACAGACGGACGGACGGACGGACATGCATAAATCGACTCAGAAAGTGATTCTGTGCATATTCTCAAAAGGAACCATGTGTCTATCTCGTTTCCTTTTGCCTGTTACAAACATATGCACAAAGACATAATACCATGTACCACAGTGTGGTGAAGGGTATAATGACATAATGATGGGACACATTTGAATCGTTGAAAAGATAACAGTGTTGTATAGAACTAGATGATTGCGAAACTGAGTGCGGATTTTCAATAACGACGACGGATGTACTCAAGAAGTATAAAGTCGATATTATTGCCTTACAAGAAATGCGATGAAAAGGGACTGGCGTAAGTAAATCAGATAATTACGACCTTTATTATAGATGTCACGAAACGTAGCATGATTTTGGCTGCGGATTTATGATTAACAGGAGATTCTCCAGATTCACTCCAGTAGATGAGTGAATTGCTATATTCACGATCATGTTGTGATAGACGGAAGAAATTCGTCCAGTGTTTTAGACGCTCGATCCAAGGTGTGACAGCCGAGGTATAACACTGAAATTCGACTACCTACTCCGCTCAACTTGCCCACTTGCTTGACGAAAGCACTCCTTGTCCGGATAACAATGAAGCAAAAGCAGCACTTGGGTACCAAAAACCACCATCAAGAAACCCATGATACGGTCAGGAGTGTCGTAATGCTACCGATGTGAAAAATTCAGCGTATAGGGCAACACTGCAGACAGTAGCAACTCGTAATGTGGTGGAGAATTATCGGGAGAAAAGGAGAGAGGAGAAACGTATTTTCAGAAAAAAAGAATAAAGAACAAAAAAAAAAAAACGTAAACTTGAGCAAATCGAGATGTACAGAAGTCAAAATGAAGTCCGGAAATTTTACCAACGAGTAAAACACCAAACCGAAGGCTTTAGTGCAGGCACATCCTCCTATATCTGGAATGAGTATTTTGAAAAACTTCTGATATCAATAGTAGCGGTGAAGAGGATACGCAAGAACCAATAAGAGATGACGGTATATTGGCAAGGTATACCACCTTGCCAAGATGAGGTCAGGATAGCAATCAATCGGCTGAAGAATATTAAAGCAGCAGGTGCCGATGGGTTATAAGCCGAAATATTCACCACTAGTGGTCAGATGCTGCTAAGGAGCATGCACCAGCTTATTAGTAAAAGTTGGCTAGAGGAATGCATGCCCAATTATTGGAACCTCAGCATCCTGTGTCCCGTGCACAAAAGAGGACACAATACGATATGTGCCAACTATAGAGGAATAAGTCTCCTTCCCATCACACATTAAGTGCTATCCAGTGTGCTCTGTGAAAGACTGAAACAAATGGTCAATGACATTATTGGACCATACCAATGCGGATTCAGGCCTGACAAATCCATCATTTACCAGATTCTCACACTGCGCCAAATCCTGAAAAAGACTTTCGAAAAACACATCGACACAACGAACATCACGCCTACTATAAAGCCGCATTCAACAGACCTATCAGTTCAGAGATTTTTAAAACCATATCTGCGTGTGACATTCCTGCAAAATTAATTCGGCAGTTAAAGTTGGAAAAGACCTCTCGGAGGCCTTTAATACCAAACGAGGATTCAGACAAGGTGACAGTTTGTCCTTTGACCTTTTTAACATCCTTCTGGAAAAGGCCTCATTTTCTTGCGGAAGTTAATGCATTTTAGGCTGTTAGGGACAGACGTCCCAACCAAGTGATTGATATATCGAGTTCTCTGAGCATAATAACTACACCTTTTTCACATGTTATTCAAAACATATCAAATGTAATTCGAGAATTCCATTTGTTATTCATAACATACAATTTGCACTTCGAAAATTCCATTTGCAATTCATAACTCATCAGTTGTAATTCGAGAATTTCATTTGTAATTCATAGAACACCTTTCGAAATTCGCAGAATTCCATTTGAAATTCGTAAAATTCCATTGGAAATTCATAAAACTCCATTTGAAATTACTAAAATTCCATTTGAAATTTATAAAATTCCATTCAACTTTCAAATAAATTCAATTGATATTCGTAATATTTGATTTGAAATTAATAACATTTCATTTTAAATTGGAAAAATGTTATGGGAAACACCCAAAATATGTGTAACACATTAAAGTGGGTAATAATGTATGTACATATTAATTAATTAAAAGTATATAATTTTATATACTTTATATATACTTTATACTTTTTTGCATCATGAACTTTAATGTATGTATTTAAATTTAATTTATATAGATTATTGACAGACCTTAATGTTGATTTTTATTCATTCTTTTGAAAACCGCATATATATATCTTTTATGAATTTGTCATGTATATATATATGTATATATATGTTAGTTTGTTTTTTAATACTATTTTTCACTACATAAAAAATTCCAACCCACTTATTGTTCAATTTATTTATTTTAGTCGAATTTGAAATAAAATGTTAAGAATTTGAAATGAATTTTTACGAATTACAACTGAAATATTATGATTTACAGGTAAAATTTTATGAATTTCAAATTGAATTCATTGAATTTCAAATAAAAATATACAAATTACAAATGAAATTCTTAAAAATTCAGATGGAATTTTATGAATTACATATGAAAAGTTTAAAATCACAAATGAATTGTTGTGAATTGCCGATTAAATACTCGAATTACAACTGAAATGTTATGAATTGCAAATTGAATTTTCGAATTACAAATTAAATTCTCGAATTGCAATTGAAATGTTTGGAATAACATTTGAAAAAGGTGTAGTTTTGTAGAAAATATTCCTGTTCCTGTCCTGTCCCTGTTTTGGCACTGCCCTCATGGACGATTTTAGCTAGGTTGCAAGTCTCAAACCTTTAATATTTTAACAGAGATCGTATATAAATGTTCCACCATATCTTGATTAGTATGAAGGCCCACCAGCATTTAAGCCAAAAAAAGTAAGGAAAGTAGTAAAGTCGGACGGGGCCGACTATATGATACCCTTCACCACTTTGAGTATATTCAACAGATGAATCCTAACAGACGTCGCATTTTTAAAGGACCAGTAAAATGAAATTGGAACCATAAACACGTCATTCTGCAACCGATACTAAATTGTTCATTTGGTCAGATATAGAAGCTATATCTAAATCTGAACCGATTTCAGGAAACTTAACACACAGCTAGACCTAATTTATTACGCTGTGCCAAATTTTGTGCAAACCGAAAGATATTAAGGGACTTTGGTGCACCATTTACATTAAATCGGACGAAAATATATATGGGAGCTATATCTAAATTCGAACCGATTTCTAGGAAACTTAACACACATCAATCTAGCCCTAATTCATTACGCTGAGCCAAATTTAGTGCAAATCGAGAGATATA